GCAACAAATGAAGTCCAGGCTTTTCGCTCAGCTTCATTCATCGAATTTACGAAGGCAAGATCGTTAATGAGTTGTCTTATTTGTGGGCGGTTAAATATTCCTGCTTTAATTTTTACTATATTTAACTGAGGCATTTTTTCCCCTATATATGCAAAGCATGATCCATTCTTATTAAGAGTTTTTACAAACTGCTTCATTAGGCCTAGCTTGATGTGCAGTGGAGGAAAGATGATTTTCTCTTGTTCAACTAAGAGGTCGTTAATGACATTTTTTTTCTCCAACGTCCATGTTTTCTCTCTTAGGCCACTCTTTTCTAATCCAGTTGTGTGTTTTGTCTCTGCTATCCCAGAGGCACAAGAAGCAAGGATATTTGATGTAGCCAATTTGCTGTCCAAGGAGAAAGTTTACCATTTTTTAAGTCTACACAAATTACAAGTCATTGATGTTCACGATACTTTATCTTTTCCAAGACCAGAGCTATGATGTTATATTCTTCTTTCATTTTCGTTGAGTGAGCAATTGGTATTGAACCGTATTTGTTCCCATTGTGTAGAAGGACACATTTCAAACTTCGTTTTGAGCTGTCAATAAATAGGTGCCAATCATCTGAAAAATATTCAAGAAGGCCCATTTTTTCCAAGAGTCCTCTAATTTCGTGACAAAACACAAAATTATCTTCTTGAGAAGAAGGGTAGCAGATCCTTTTCTCTTGTACGGTAAAAGGTAATTTTGGTTCCTTGCTCCAGTAAATTTTTCTCCTTCAACCCAGAAGCCAATAATTCAGAAGCTTCTTTTGGCAGGTTAAGATCTCTGGTGAGGTCATTTAACTCATCCTGGTTGAAACATTGAGGAATTGATGACATTCTCTCGTAATCACAGTCACCTTCATTAGGATCAGAGGGATACTCGTCCTCACAGAGCTCTGGTAGCTGGTGAAATGATGGAACTGGTACTTCCTGTGAGTGAGGGACCGGGCGTCTTGCAGAGACTAAATCAGGATAAGTCCACTTGCTACAGTTGTTACGATTGATTCCATTAATATTTACTAGACAGAAATAACAGTCATCAAAGTGATTTTTGGGTTCTCTCCAAACCATTGGTACGCCAAATTTCAGACTTTTTCTTTTCCCATTAGTCCACTGTCGTAAATGTTCTGTACAAGATTTACAGACCTGATACTAAAAAAGTAGAGCTGATAGAGAAAAACTGATTTCATATTTGGATTCAGCGACCCAAATATAGCTAAAATCAGTTCTAAAATCCTAGGCACCAAAAAAAAATTTTTTTTTTTGTTGACCTGTGTTATCATTACAAGACAAAGTATTTGTTTCGATTATCTGAATTTTTCCTTATCCGGACTCCCTTCATCCCCAATTAATCTGGATAATCGAGGTTCTACTGTATATATTTTTGTAGAACTGATTTTAGTTGTTCTGTACCTCTTAATGACAGCAAATAGAGGTGATAGTAGAAGAAAGTTTGAAAGTTAGTTTTAGAAAGATTAAAATTCTGATAATGGAGACTTGAGAACATTTTAAGTCTTAGCTGAAAAGAATTGGTGAAATTATTAGATCTGGAAGTGTATTTTTATATTTTTGATATATTGTTTTACATTATTGATGTACAGTAGAATCTTGTTTTAATGGATTGTGGAACAATGGATTTTTTCTCAGGTTTCACCAAATCAATATAATTTTACCTTCTTTTAGTGGATTCATAACTCGAGTAATGGATTTTTTCTAGCTCCATCTATTGTAAACTTTGCAATTTTCAGTGTTTAGCTAATATTTGATTGCTTCCAGAAATTTGAGTTCAATGATACACTTGTTACATCTAGGATATATACAAAAATAGAATGATAAGTAATAATTTTGGTAAAAAAATTACATGAAACTTGATACCCATATTTGGCCAGGATACAGATAATGCTAAGGCGTATACCGTAGTCAACGTGGCAGGGTATGGCCTGGCCCAGCCAAAAAATTTGCAAGGGCTCTGGATGCAGGGACAGTGTCTGGACGCAAGCAAGCTAGTCCAGAAAACCTGAAAACAACAACACAAAATATGAGAAGGGAAAGATATTGAACAGATGAGGGTGGCGATGCTCAATGTTGGTATGATGTATGCAAGGTGCGAGTTTGTTGCACGGCCCTGTGGAGGCGACACATAGACATTTGCGCACTACAGGAAACCAGATGGAGTGGGGAAAAGTCATGTGACATGGAGCAAGAGCGGAAGGAACATGGCTACAAGCTGATCTACTTTGGCAGCCCTCACACTCCACAGTGGCGTAGGCATCGCCATCTCAGAACGAATTTGTAATGCAGTTCAATCAGTCCATCAATACAATGACTGTCTCATGAAGATTGTCATCGTGACACCGCACAGGACTATCCATGCTTTTACTGCTTATGCGCTGCAAACTGGGCGACTGGAGTCCAAGAAGGATGCATTCTGGCAGCTGCTTGACGACCAGATGCGTAATGTGCTAACTACAGATTACGTCATTGTTGGTGATGACTTCAATGGCCATGTTGGGGAGACTGCTGATAGAAGCCGATGTCATGGTGGCTGGGGCTTTGGTCAATGCAATGACGATGGTGAATGCGTGCTTGACCTTGCTGATTCCCATGATCTTGTCCTCACCAACACCTGGTTCAAGAAACGACTGTCACAACGGCCCACTTTCTACAGTGGATACACAATGTCACAGATCGACTGTGTCTTAGTCCGACGACTTGACCTACACTCTGTCATTGACGCAAAGGTCATGCCATATGAGACAGTGGCTGCACAACACCGACCCGTCATCGCAATGCTTCGCATCAACCCGCCGAAACTGCCTGATGAAGATCGAGCCGGCCCACCACACATCAAGTGGTGGAAACTGGGTGGCAGAGAGGCAGAGACCATTGCACATATTCATCTTCCAAAATATAACAACTGTTGAGGAGACATGGCAGAAGGCAAGACGGTCTATCCAAGAGGCTGCCCATTTGACACTTGGCCGTATTATCCCAGGTCAGTGCTTTGTAAAGCGGGAAAATTGGCTCTGGACAGATGTCAAATCAAAAGTCCATGGAAAGAAAAAGCTCTACCATGCCTTCCTCAACAACAAGACTCCACAGAACTGGCAGATATACCGAGACGCCAGAAATGCTAAGAAAGCTGTTGCTGTAGCCTGAGTGGCGCACTACAAGAAAATCTATGAACAGCTTGATGGGCAAGATGGTGAGTGTCTCCTGCTGACTTGCCAAAAGCCATCACCAGTGAACGCAAGACATCGAGAAATTTCACTGCGTCAACGACAAATGTGGCAAGCTGATTATCGACAGACAAGCTGTGTTGGAGCGATGGCGGGGTTACTTTGAGAAGATTTCCACCAAGGAGTTTCCACATCCACCTATCACAGAACTGCCTGCCACGGCTGGACCTGTGCATCCAATTACCAAAGAAGAGATCGAGAGTGCACTAATAAAGATGAAGCCTGGTAGGGCATACGGACCAGACGACATTTTTCCGAAGCATAAAATTGAAAATTTCCTGCCAAAATAGAAACTTCCTAATAACATTGAAATTGACGTTCTAACATCATTTTATTCTATTTGATTCTTCAAAAAATCATTATAATACTATGTATTAGACTTAAAATATTCGATATCTAAACCAGAAAGTGTTAGCTAGAAATAGATTTATTTATAGAACAACCCCTCCATTTCTCACCTCAGGGAAAGTCATAAAACAGTTGGGTGCTAATGACTTTGTGAAAGGGAGAAAGTTCTACACTTAGAAACTTCAAAAGAAGGGATTTGGCCTGTACAGTCCATGGGCCACATAAACATTGAAAGAGGCTGTGTGGCCTGCAGGCCGCAGGTTGTGCACCCCTGTATTATGTATTCAAATTTAATGCTGCTTTTGCTATCGGTAACTAAGGGAGACTGAGGCCTATTTTTCAAATGTGAGCCTCTGCCTAACCCACGAATGCAGACCTTGTTAATCCAGGTGACATATCACACTTTGATTTGGTTTCTACCATGATAAATATTTCCACAGAATGTGGATGTGATCACTCTTAGCTTCATTTCTCCCCATAGACCTTACTGGCATGGGTGTCCCTATTAGGAGCTTGTGCTCCAGCCTGCATTGCTCTATGGATAAGTGAAATTATCACCTGGTCACCACCTGGTCATAGTGGGATAGTCCACAACCAGGTGGTGACCAGGTGGTAACAGGAGAATTATTATTATTATTATTTTTTTTTTAGCATTGTTTGATTATCAGTAATGTTGAAATCATGATTCCTTGATAATTTATTTTAAAAATTGTAGAATTTTATGCTTTGAGAACATAAAATGCTTATTAAAATTTTATTTAATTTTTTGGATTGGAAACATTTCTCATGAAAGTGTTGCTGTACTTCTATAAAGCATAAATCATTTTATCTTTAATAAATATCAGTGTTATGTTCGACTTTTCAAATGTTAATAAAAACTTGACTTAATAATGAGTTTTGTGTTAATTAAAGATAGAATTTACTCAAAAAAGAGAAAATTCTATGTAAATAAAAATTAATATATCTTAGAATCTGAGGAAAAAACAATTTCAAGCATTTATGATGCAAAGACATTTATAGCAATTAAATTTTATTGAATTAAAAATTAATTATAATAGCTAATATAGCGATATGTGATATATAATAAGGTACAGTATAAATAATATAAAGTTTAGTTAATATTCATAATCAGACTTCCTAACTTTGCATATGGTTTTTGTGCCTTTTATTTTTAAAAATAAAAATGTTTTCAATATAATATGAATTATTTTATTAAGCATATTTAAATTTTATATAACATATACTTTATACCAAAATATTTTACTGTATACAATCGAATAAAATTTGTAAAATATATTGACTAATCCATAATTAATTTTAAATGAAATTATGATGATATGCTTAATTAGAAACTTTACTGATTATTTTTTTTAATAAAATTTTGTAGTTCCTTCTTTAAAACCAGATGTCTGTCCCTGTTGCAGTCAAGAAATAAAGCATTCTGATGTGATAGATCATCTGTTTTTGCTGGAGTGTTTATCTCAATCATCTGATAGTGTTGGAAACACAGAAGAATCAAAAATATTTACTTGTACAAGTTGTGAAGATAGTGCTTTGGCATCTGGATTTTGTGTAGAATGTCAAGAATGGTTATGTGAAGCTTGCATTCAAGCTCATCAGCGTGTTCGTGTTACTAAAGATCATGCTATCCGTCCAAAAGAAGATATGGAAGGTGAACGGACTACTGGACTTGCTCAGAAATATCTGTTTTGCCCTTTACACAGACAAGTAAATATATTATTTTGTCATGTAAATTATAACAATAATTTTCAAATAAGATGAAATTGTTATTAGAAATATATTCAATGTTTTTTTAAAATTTGTATTAGAACTGTCTTAATCTACTGGTATTAGAACTATACTTTTTTTTGTTTGCCTATCATCTTTAGGTAGCTTAACTGAAGTTTAAAAAATTAAAATTGTTATCTGAATTAATTATAAATCAAATTTTAAATATGTTCTTCATTTTCTAAGAATCGATTAAATTGATTTAATGTAAAAATTGACATCTAATCAATTTAATGTAAAAATGACATCTAATCAATATACAATAGAATAAAATTATGTGTGGGATCTGTACCTGTATATTTAGTGAGGGATCTGTACCTGTATATTTAATGAGTGTTTCCTGAACTATAAGTGAGAGCATATTAACTAATTGTAAAAAGGGATTGTAAAGATCGACTTACTTCTAGAATAACCAAAACGGTGCTTACTTCACTTTAATTTGTTTCACTAGTAAAACTTTTTACTTCTAAAATAGTAGAAGATAGTAATTACCACCATCAAATTTTGGAGTTGGCACATTTATTGTGCTATAACTCGTTCTTTCAATTTAAAGGCACAGTATATAAACAAAGAAGGGGTGTACCAATGGGGAGCCCAATCTCGGGAGACCTGTGTGAAATGGTGATTAGACTCCTTGGAGGATAAAATACTTCCTGACCACCTACACAATATAATTATGTATAAAAGGTACGTGGACGATATACTCATACTATGGAGCTGTAAGCCTGATATGCCGGCATTATTAGCATTGTTTAATAACAACCCTTACGGATTGACGCTGGGTCTTGAACAAGAGAGCTACACCCAGGTTCATTTTCTTGATGTCAGCATCAAGGTTAAAGGTTCGACCATCAGCACGGAAGTATACAGAAAACCGCTAGTAGAACAATTATACATTCCGGTAGGATCAAGTGACCCGAAGCAATACAAAGTAGAGGCATTCAACACCTTGGTTAAAAGGGCTTATACGCACTCTTCGACATCACATGCATTTAAAACAGAAATAAACATACTTAAAAGTATTGCTGAACGGCATGGGTATAGTGAACTGGTAACTACATTAGCCAAAAAAATGATTCATCCGCAAAGAACAGATCGTCCGGAAACACTAGAGAAAGAACAGAAGGAAAGAGTGGCTATAACGTATAATCCGTATTTGGAGAAACTATATAAAGAGATAGCTAAGAAAAGACAAGTTTCCATCGTATTTAGAAGAGGTCCTACATTATTTCGACTGCTTAGTAATGCGAAAGATACTCTGCAACAAGACATGATGGCTGGAGTATACAGCATCCCAATTAGGGATTGCAGATGCAATGAAGAATTGTTATATATCGGCTCCACAAAGAGATCTTTAGGAGTGAGGATTAAGGAACATAAAGCTGATATCCTCCACAAGAGGCTGACAACCACCTTAGCACAGTACACTACGGACCCTGAGATACAACCGTTATTTGAGCAAGCAAAGATAATATACACCACGCACCAAACACAATTTTTGCGCTTGATGGAAGCGATTTTTATACACAAGGCAACTCAGGGTAACAATTGTATAAACAGCAAAGATGAAATATCATTATCAGTAGCGTGGTAAACCCTGATATATGACACATAACGGGAGGAAACATAGGCTCACAACGACGCATGCGCAAAGGATGACGACGATTGCACGAATTTCGGAGAGATTCGATGTTCGGAATTCTTTTAAAAAAAGATAGTTTCAAATCGAATCTTAACGGATTTTGCCCATTTTTCACCTGAAGAAGGACCAAAAGGTTCGAAAACGTTAGTGAAACAAATTAAAGTGAAGTAAGCACCGTTTTGGTTATTCTAGAAGTAAGTTGGTTGAAGATATGGTGTGTGTTGGAAGTAGTATTGTTTATTTGGGATTGTAAAGATGTCTGTTAAGTAGAGGCTACTTGGAAGTGTCCATTAATGATGGTTTCACTGTGTATGTATATGTATGTATATATATATATTATTAATGATGGTTTCACTGTGTATATATATATATATATATATACAGTGAAACCATCATTAATGCACACTCCCAAGTAGCAGACACTTCTACTTAACAGAATTTTTACAATCCCCAGACCCTTCAAATAGGACATCTATAATATTTACCTCTATATATAGTGGACACTCTAAATTCTTCTTCTTCTTTTGTCCCTAGTTGGCATTTGGTTGCGGGCATCCGCGCAACCAGTATGCTGCTGTGGGTGCTGCAGGAAGTCAAGCTTTCTCTACAATGCCCCTCCAATGCCCTCGATCCATGGCCACCGCTTTCGCCTGTCTCAGATCAAGCCATTGGTTCCTGAGGTCCTCCTCAACCTGTTTAGTCCATGTTTTCTTAGGTGCGGAGTGTTGGATTTTCCACAGAGTAGGTTGCTGTCAGAAGAGCAGTTGATGGGAAATTTGGTTAATATCCATTCGGACACTCTAAATAATGGATGGCATCATCCATAACCATTTGACTGTAACCATTGAATAAAGACTGGCTTAAAATAAGAATAGGGAAGAAGGGTAGGTTGTAAAAACCAAACAATATTGATTATCTGTTAGAGAAGACTAATCTGGTTAAGTTGTCCATTACTAAAAACACAACACCTTATTAATCCAGCAATATTTAATAATATAATAATAACGTTTTCGACTGTTTTAAACAGCCTTCATCAGTTAAACTATTTCAAACTAAAAGAATGCTAAAAATAGAATACAAGCTTTTAAAAACTCAAATTCCAACGTAAAANCTGCCCATTGGGACCCCTCTTCCTTGCAAATATGTCACTCCTTCAAAGACAAAAAACTACTACGTTGTCGTATAGTTGCACCAACGTTTATACGTTGGTGCAACTATACGACATTTAATGCAGAGAATTAAAGAACATAAATAATCCATCACTAAGGGCTTGGATAGCACTGTACTCGCGGCTTCCGCTAAAGAACAGGAAGTCGACGTGCATTGGGACAAGGCCTCTATCATCAGGGCCACGAATAACAAGCAGGCGCTAAAGTATCTTGAGAAGTTGGAAATATACAAAGCCCACATTAACACGGGCTGTATTAACCACAGTAATGCGGATTGTATATCCACCGCATGGAAATCATTTTACCATAGCACATGATGGTAATCTTATAATAGGCATTATTGCGGCAAAAAAATTCGATTACAGTCGACCCCCGTATAAGATCATTGATTATTCCGTTTTATATGAATTCCATGTTGTACGAGTCACTTAGATTTTACAAATACGTGTACCGGGCTGTGAACGGCTCATGTATTTGTAAAATTTAATTGACTTGTACAACATGGAATTCATATAAAACGGAATAATCAATGATCTTATACGGGGGTCGACTGTAATCGAATTTTTTTGCCGCAATAATGCCTATTATAAGATTACCATCATGTGCTATGGTAAAATGATTTCCATGCGGTGGATATACAATCCGCATTCCTGTGGTTAATACAGCCCGTGTTAATGTGGGCTTTGTATATTTCCAACTTCTCAAGATACTTTAGCGCCTGCTTGTTATTCGTGGCCCTGATGATAGAGGCCTTGTCCCAATGCACGTCGACTTCCTGTTCTTTAGCGGAAGCCGCGAGTACAGTGCTATCCAAGCCCTTAGTGATGGATTATTTATGTTCTTTAATTCTCTGCATTAAATGTCGTATAGTTGCACCAACGTATAAACGTTGGTGCAACTATACGACAACGTAGTAGTTTTTTGTCTTTGAAGGAGTGACATATTTGCAAGGAAGAGGGGTCCCAATGGGCAGCCATATGTCCGCTATTTTGTGAATTGGTTTTGCGTCGTTTGGAAAACAAAGTTCTTTCCTTATTTCAAAATGACATCATTTTATACGCAAGATACGTAGATGATGTTTTCATAATCTGGAGGAATGATGGTTGCACTCGAGAATTTCTTAATAAGATCAACGAATACCCGTATGGTCTGACATTATCATTGGACCAAGAAAGTACTTATAATGTAAATTCTCTTGATCTTTCAATCACATGCAAAGAGGGTGAAATATGGACAGACATTTATAAAAAACCGAGTTATCAGCCTATTATTATTCCGAAAAATTCTTTCGATCCTAGGAATTTTAAACATGCGGCATTTTGTGCATGGATCAAGCGTGCATACACACATTGTACCAGTGTTTATGATACATATAAAGAATTAAATTACATTCGTACAACAGCTTTACAGCATTGTTATCGAGCAAGAGAAATTGAAGGGCTTTTTAATAAGTTTCAGAAACCAACAAAACGACAACTTCTAACTACGAATGAAAGAAGAAAAGTAGTCCTTAATTATTTTCCTTTCTTGCACACATTGATGAAGAAATTGGCCAGCAACAATAACATAAGAATGGTATATCGGCGTAATCCTACGATATATAGATTATTAAGAAACGACAAGAAAAAAGAAAACCAGAATACTAGAACGGGTGTATATGCTATACCTTTAAAGGATCGCCGATTTAACTCGGATCTTTTATACGTTGGTGCAACTATACGACATTTAATGCAGAGAATTAAAGAACATAAATACTCCATCACTAAGGGCTTGGATAGCACTGTACTCGCGGCTTTCGCTAAAGAACAGGAAGTCGACGTGCATTGGGACAAGGCCTCTATCATCAGGGCCACGAATAACAAGCAGGCGCTAAAGTATCTTGAGAAGTTGGAAATATACAAAGCCCACATTAACACGGGCTGTATTAACCACAGGGATGCGGATTGTATATCCACCGCATGGAAATCATTTTACCATAGCACATAATGGTAATCTTATAATAGGCATTATTGCGGCAAAAAAATTAGATTATATGTATTTTTATTTATTTTATTCCGATAAGATTCGTATGCGCAATTTTTGTACGTTTTTATTATACGACTGCATTTTACGTTGGAATTTGAGTTTTTAAAAGCTTGTATTCTATTTTTAGCATTCTTTTAGTTTGAAATAGTTTAACTGATGAAGGCTGTTTAAAACAGTCAAACGTTATTATTATATTATTAAATATTGCTGGATTAATAAGGTGTTATGTTTTTAGTTATACAATATCCAGTAAGTTCATTATTTATTTATCTATTGTTGTCCATTACGATTTGTCGTCATACATATTAATGTTATTAAACTTCTGTCTTATTGTTGGAATTAAACTTTTGGTACCAAGAAACCATAAACTTTTCCAACATTCATTCAACAAGAATCTTAGTGCAGTAGTAATGAAAAAGAAACAGTTTTAAAGTTATGACAACAGCATGTGGTGATAGTTCAAAGATTGTGTTACAAAAACGATTTGCCTACCACTTTAAGTGTAGGAAGATATTTAGTTTTCTTGCATTTGTGATGTCATTTATGATCTTACCAGCTTCGTGGTGGCTAAAGTAATTTTTTAATGGATCATTTATTGAAAAAAACAAAAATGTTTGAAAAATTTCATGTATTCAATAACTATAAAGTAGACAAATTATTATATTAATTTTTATTAGTTGCTTAGAACATAAATGACTAGTTGCCTGGCATAAATAACTTCATATGATATTTATATTAATAAGTTACATTAAAATTGTTGTTTTATGATATATTAAACAATTTCCAATATTTATAATATATAATAATTTTTAAAATGATACAATTATAAAACTACAGAAAATTATTTTAATTAAAGTCAGGAAATGTTTTATTTATTATTCACTTTTTCCTAATAGAATGATAGATATGATAAATATTACATATCATTATTATATTATGCAGTGTTTATTTATTGGTCTTATTATTTTTTTTAAAACTTGACTTTTTTGAAATTTTTTTAATCTACATGCTTAAATGAAACAATATAATATGATAGCTTGAATATCCACTTCAAAGAGCTGTTCTTTAAATTTAAAAGTGTAATGTCAGATGTTTTCATTTTATAAAAATATTAAAATAATTAAGTAATGATTATTTTCATTATTTGATTTTAACATTTCAAATTTATTGTTAAATTATAGGAACAGTTAAAACTGTATTGTGAATCTTGTGATAAAGTGACATGCAGAGATTGTCAACTTCTTGAACATCAAGATCATAGATACCAATTTTTGTCAAAAGCTTGCGAAGATGAAAAGTTGTATTTAGGAACGTTGTTAACTAAAATTAAAGAAAAGCAAGCTTACATTAAAAATGCCCGTACAACTGTAAATAAACGTCATAATGAAATTACACAAAGGGAACAGCATGTTAATGAGGAAATTAAAATGTGTGCTGTCAGGTAGGAAATTCAATGTATTTCTCATAATAATTATTGCATTAATAATTTGTTTGATAAGTATATATCTTAAAAATAGAATTTTTATTAAGATTAATTTTTTTTATTTCTTATTACATGTTATTTATTAGTGTTTTTGCTTTATAAAATTGTTTAAAATCATATACTAAATACGGAACCTGTTACCGGTGTAATTTTGTGTGAAAAAATCTTCCTTTCACAAATGTTTTCGAGGTTCTGTATTTAGTATTTCATCCCCGGTGTCAGAGTGAAGTTAATTTACTGTTTAAATCAAATTAAATAAAAGGAATTACAGTTGACCCCCCATAACACTGTTGATAATTCTGTTTTATATGAATTCCATGTTGTACGAGTCACTTAGATTTTACAGATGCGTGTGCCGGGCTGTGAACAGATCACGTGTTTGTAAAATCTAAGTGACTTGTACAACATGGAATTCATATAAAACAGAATTATCAACAGTGTTATAGGGGGTCAACTGTAGTAAAAACATAATCTAGTTTTGTTTTTTACACCTAGAAAGTATATACAGTTGAACCTGTGTATTGCAAATCTCACAGAAACAAGAAAAAAAATTTGAGATACAGCTTGAGATATCTCAAATTTTTTTCTTGAGAGTTTTTTCTTCTCTTTTCTTGTAGAGGTTCCTCTACAGTAAACAGTAATAGGTTTCTGTATATATTTTCTGTAAAAGTAATAGGTTTCATTGAAAGTATGGTATTTCATAATAACAGGTATAGCACATACCTGTATTAAGTATAAATAAAACATTTCTGACCTTAACAGAAATAGTTCATAAATAGTTTCTGATGCTTGACTTCCTTTAAGCAACAAAGCACAAGCCAAACTTGTAGCCAGTCAGAGAAAAGCAGTGCTAATTTCAATTATGTATCGTATGGCAACTACAATTTATGTTATCAAAATATACTCACTGAGTTTTAAGTTTGTAATTGACATTTCAGTCCATAATTTGAGATATAGAGGTTTAGAAATTTGTGATAAACATGGAAAACATTTTGAATTTAGACTGAAAATGCATGAAAAAAATTAGTCACAGCATTTACTCTGTCAAGTAAAAAAAAAACCTTGCCTATATATATACAGGAATCAGAGTTACTGATTTTTGGGGTCAATTTCTCTGCCCTCCAAACATCTGAAGTAATTCCGAATATCCTGTTTGAAAGAAAATTGTTTTGTTAGGTTCTGTGCAAATTTTAAGATATTCTATAAAGCAGAATTCGAACAGTAATGGCCTATTCAATAAAGCCTGAGGAAGAGCCCAAGAGGGGATTCGAAAATGTTTGCGACTATAGAATAGGAACCACTCTGGTTAACAGGTTTGAAGAATAGATATAATTTCAAGGTTTTCTATAAAGCAGAATGTTGTTGATATAAACAATTGAAAAGTGCAAAATTTCCAAAAAAGCAGTATTTTATTCTTCATCCGGTACTACAGATGTTCATAGAAAAAAACTACTGGGTCTAGAAATCTTTTAAACTTAAGCCTTACTCATTATCAGTGAAGTGCTTGTAAAACTTCTGGGTCAATAGGTAAAAGTTTACGGGTGTTTCCCATATCTAATTCAGTTATATGGCTTAATTTTATGCTTATAAAGATAAAATTGCATAGAATCAATTGAATTTTATTCAAAATGTTACTCAGAATAACAAAAGCTAAAATATATGCCAATTAAAACTTTTTATAAGGATTTTTCTAAACTGCATATTGAAAGTGTCAGTTGGCAATGTGTTTGGTTGGCACCGACCGAAATGAGTATTGAAAGCATTCAGTTGGCAGTACATTTGTCAACAGTGAGTTGGTTGGTGATTTCTGTGGCAGTCACTGAGCACTGACTGAATTGTATGTCATTGTCTTATGTCTTGATGCAATAATACAATTATTAAACAAAAACATCTGAGATGTAAAAAAATTTTGCTAAGTAAAAACATGACCATTTAGATGACAGTCAAAGTTTTTTAAGGTGTTTTCTTTTAATAAAAATAAAAATCTTGTGGGTATTGCTTAAAAATGCAAAGTTTATCTGTATCATTATTTTCTACATTTCACTTCCAAATGCCAAGCTTATCTTGACCAAAGGAAAATTCCTAAAAAATTTTTTTGACTGTTGTCTAAATTGTCATAAGTTTTTTACTTTATGAAATTTTTTACATCTCAGATGTTTTTGTTTGGATTTCAAGATACAAGTTTTTCAGATAAACATATTTCAGATAGGTTCAACTGTATATAGAATATTACACTATATCAGTTAGCAATAGTAGCAATTATCAATTTTAGCACTTGTTGAAATGATAATCAATTTTAGCACTTGTTAAAATTTTCATAATAAAGTTAAGTGATTGAAAATGATCAGAAAATATCTAACATTGTTTGCTATTTTTCTTCTTGGAATTTGTGTGTCAAATGTGAATCCAAACTCCTAGTATGTAGTTTATTTGAAATAATATCTCAATCACTTTAATAGAACATTGACATTTTTAATAAAACTTCAAATATAAATGTTCTATAGTGGGAATAATAAAATGTACTTTTATGTGAAAGGAACAAAAAATGGGATTTTGCATGACCTGAATTACCTCATATAATTCAGGTAATGCAAAACAATGGGTATCAAAACAGGTTGAATAATACTGCCTGACCTGAATTACCTGAGATAATTCATGTCATGCAGTATTATTTACAACCTATGGTCCACTGATCCTCAGGAACTGTGAATGTTTCAGTGGAGTGCTTATATTCACAGATGAAAAAACAGAAGCTTATATCATAAAATAAAATATTGCTTGTAATATTTATCTTAAAAAAATCCAACTACAGTTGTCCCTCTATAGTTCGACGTTTTTTAATCCAACATGCTCAGTAGTCCGACGCACCTCCCGTCAAGGTACCCGTCCCCGTTACGTGTCTGCTTGCACAGAAGCATGTCACGATGTGAATCTCCCCATCCAATTCTTACTCGATGACACACATTTCGTGTGTTTTATGTGAGCAGTTCTGTTCGAACAGTTGGAGTAGAGAATATTGTAAGTTACTGCTAGCAAAACAATGCGAAATATGTAATTATTTTCGGTAATCCGGACACTT